TGCACCGCGGGCGCCGCGGGCTGCTGCGAGGCGCGACCACCGCCGCCCCGGATCCGAGCTGGAGGGATGTCCCCACGCCCACTGACACCCAAGGGCCCCGGGGATAGTGAGACGCGGTAGGGGCAGGAACTTGCCCGAAGTCGCCATGGTAAAGTCTGTATGGTAGATGCGGCTACAGATGCAAGGCTGGATCCAAATAGCATGGCACTATATTTTGCACTTTGTATTTTTCAAAGTTTTGTTTTAAAAAAGAGATATATGGTTTAAATTTTCAGAGTTTATAAACGAATGTAATGATGTAAAGAGGATTTCCCTTCCACCCTGTGTCCCAGTGCCCAGCCCAGTCTCAAGAGGGCACTCGCTATCAGGTTGTTGGTATAGCTTTCCAAGAATTTTGAATACCTCTAAAAGCACATATAATTATATAGCCCCTCTCTTTAAACACATACAGTACATTATTCTGCTCTTGGTTTTTCCACCTATGAAATTTCCCTCAGTTTCCCCACCACTTTTCACCTCTGAAGTCGGGTCTCTTGTACAATCGGTGGAGCATTGTTTAATTAGCTTTCCTCCTCTTAATGCTACATGAAGTCATGAAGCATCTCATGGTCAGGAGTGACTTGGGTTATAACGAGATATGGCGATATATATTGGATTGGCTTCAGACTTAAACTTAGCACAGAGCTTAACTGCACAAAAACTGCAGTTATTCTCCAGTTGTTTTGGGTCCTTTTGTTACTACAAATAATGCTGCGTTGGATGTCGTGGCACACAAATGTCAACATATCTGTGACTTAGTGGAAAGTGCACGTGAGAAAGACAATGGAACAGGTTCTCGGAGTCACTTATTTATTCATGAGGTCCCCGTGCCTACTCAGAGCCAGGTTCTCTGCACCAGTCCTTGCAGAGGTCCCAGACAAGAAACCCAAGGGAGCCTTGATTGCTGGAATTTGATGTGCGGCCAAGTGAAGACAATGAATGGAGGGAGGGACTCGCTGACCAAGCTTCATGGGTGGCTTTTTTTGCCTTCACTCCCTAGCCCTGATTTGTCTGGTGTTGTTTTCTTTCTATTTCTGAATTCCTAGAGATGGAGAAAGCCTCCTGGAGTCTAGGATAACCAGCTGCAGCACTCTTGGGTGGTGTCTATTTTGCTTTTCAAGCCCAGGTCCTTCCCAGTTTGCAGTCTTTCAGGGGATGCCCTTATCCCCAAAGGAGCTCCAGCAGAGGCCACTCCATGCGGTGGTCAGAGCAGGGCCAGCTACCCGGCCTACTCCAGCTCTTCCCTTTCAAGCACACACATAGGGCAAGCTTCATGGGGTGGAGGTAGGCGGTGATAACTAAGCATAGTAATGTCGGTATAGCACTCAACATGTCTCTCAGTACTTATTAATGATTGGTTTATCCAGAGGCTGCTGTCTTGACCTGGAACAGCCCTTTAAAGTGCTTACACTCCTTGACTCTCTGTGCACTGCTATGAATCTCTCCTAGGGAAATATCACTATGTGTGAATATTTCATTCTGGAATTGGTCACGATAGCAAAAAATTGGAAACAATCTAAATGCCCACTGATAGGCAATGATGAACTCGGTGATGGTATATTCAACAATAGAGGATTAGGTGGGCACTGAAAATGAGGAAGGAGATGTAGGTTAACTGAAACAAAAAGATGTTGGTAATATCTTGTTTAGTGAAATAGCAATTACAAATTGCATGGCACGTGTGACGGCATATTTGTATATATGTGGTTGTAAGTATATGAAGGAGTTCAAGATTGTTTAATGATAGGAAAGAAACGCTTATAGTGTTAAATGAACAAAGCAGGACTTGAAAACAAAAGAAATTAATTCCATGCTGCTTTTCAGGGACATCCTTCCCAGTAAGTTCAAACTTTCAAATGCTCAGAGCTGTCCAAAAAGAGAATAGACTGCTCCAGAGGCAGTGAGCTCCCTGTCATTGGGAGAGTTCAAGGATGAGTCTTTGCAAAGAGTATGGAGGGGATTAAAGAATCAGGGATTGGGTGAGTCACCATTCCCATGGTACAGTGTCTGACCCTGAGATCTGGGTTGTGCGAAATATGGTCATGATTAGCAAATAACTATACAGGGATGATTTGCCTGCTTTTTATACAAATGTTGACCTACTAAAGGTAGGTCAAAATAATGACCTGTGTCATTATTATGAATTAATGTGTGCCTGACACAGGTTGGGATACACAATCTCAGAAGCACATTTACACATGATCCATGTGCTTTTTTAGTAGGGAGAGCATTATTTAAGCATGACTCTTTGAGAAAATGAGCAGAAGACTAGTTTTCCAACCCTGAGCCTGTGGTATCTGGGTAGAGAAAACATTCCAAAGCTTTGAAGGTGATTAACATTCATTTCCCTTTTAAAACTGCCCCAAAGCCCATAGCCCAGTGAACTCTGGTTCCCAGAGAGCCATTTAACACTGTGGACAACACTTTGTGGGCCCATAGAATTATGGGGAAAAGTGAGGATGGATTTTCTCAGCAGGGAAGGGAGTTGAGGCCCGTCTGTTGTCTGCAAGGGGTTAAGGAGGCTTTCTGGAAAAGGTGCTTCCTAAACTGAGTCTTGGGGAGACAGTAGGTGTTGTCTGGAAGGAAGGCAGAGAGACGGAATAGTGTGTCCGAAGGCTTGAAGACCAGAGAGAACACAGTACAGTCGGGAGCGAGGAGGAAGCTCAGCCCGGCTGCAGCGCTGTGTGTGGGGTGGGCAGGTGGGAGCTCGGGGGTGGGAGGTGAGGCTGGAGAGGATGGGAGGGCCGGATCACCGGCCTGCTGGATATGGTGGAACCCAGGCTTGGTGCTGCTGGCTCAGGCCTGCATTACTGTCTGACAGGCAGAGACTTTAAATGTGGAGGGGAAGAGAATAGCATGTATTCCCACAAGGGGTGGGGGCAGAGGATAAGTCTGCAGAAAGTCTCCTGTTTCTCCATTCTTCCCTTCAGTGGCTTTTCCTAAGGCTTCCACCAAAATGCGAGGTTTGTGCTGTGGCCACCCATGCAAATCGCCACCTTGTGGACAACACAGGGATTACAGATCTAGAAATGCTGTTCCTAATTCTTTAGTTGAATCAATATTTTCTAATAATTCAAATGAGCCAAAATGCTGGGGTAAGGTGCTCTTGGTCCAGAGGAGAGAAGAGAAGTGTATACAGATAATCACCCCAGCTTCAGTTTGGTTGTCCTTCAGTTTAAATGGGTCCCCCCCTCCTAGTGTTCTAGAAATGACTTCTGCAGGGTCTGATCTACTCTTGTCTGCCCCGGTGCAGCCCCACTTCACCCGTTTGTCCATCCTGACTTCTGGTGCAGTAATCTCTTCCCTCATCCTGTGTTCCATCTGTCATAAATTGAAAAGCACCAAACTCGTCCCCAGGGAGGACACTGTGCTTAAGCCAGGATCTTGACCAACCTGGGAAGAGGGCACAAGATATGTCCCTAAAGTGTCTATCCTCAGGGATTAGCATACTTCTTGGCACATGAGTACTTCATAAATATTTGTGACATGAATAAATGAGTGAGGGCAGGAGAGGTGGGTGACACTTGAGAGGCCAGTCCCCCTTTCCTGTGGGCTTATCCAGAGTTGAGTCTAGTCCGGGAAGATAAATTGAGGTCACGTTACAAAGATCACTGAATGCCCAGCTAAGGAGTTGGTTTTTTTTTTTCTTCTCCCAGCAGGAGGAGCCAACCCTGTTTGTGACAGAGAAGGGATAGGATAGGAATATAGGTTAGTTTCATTGTTTTTCAAAGGGAGAAAAAAATGTTCTTAGTCAGGGGTCATACCCACCCCAGAAAGCCATGATATTGCTTAACGAAGAAATTGCACTAGGTCTTCCATATACCTGGTTCTTTTGTTTCTGAGTTTAATAATTAAGCCGTATGTCTGCAGAATAAACAGAGGCTGTCCTGCAGTAAGCTCCCAACACTTGGGAGACAAGCAGAGCCTTTGTGGTGGACTGCTGAGTTTCCTTCTGTCATGTCACCGGAACGCCGAACACTGCTGAACACAGGGCTAAACACAATAACCCTTCCCCACCCGGCTCGGGTGCAGTCAGTCATCTCTTCCCTCATTCTTTGCCAGCTGCCTGCAGCATCATTCCGTGGCTCCTGGAAAGAGGTCTCTAGTGGAGTGCTCTAGGGCTCTGTTCTATTCAATTTTTTATCAATAACTTGGACAAATTCAGATGTATTCAAATGCCCCAAAGCTTCAAAAAGGAATTAATCCACATTCGATAGGAGAGGCAGTATTCAAAAATGCTTGCATAGGGTAGAATGGCAGAGATCAATCAAATGTTGACGTGTTCTCCGGACCCATGTTAAGTTCTACGTTTGGACTCAATACAAAACTGAGAAACTATGAGAGAGGGAAAATGAAATCTATCACACAGGTTTAACTTCAGGTTCAGAAGGGGTCATGTCTGGACCATGGTAGCCCCTTAGAAATGGGTCCTTATTACTATGGATGACATTTTGCTGAACTAAAGCATTTTATAACAAGTGTCTTAGTGTTTCTCTCACTTTCAGGTGGTTGCCTTTCCAGCCTCCCCAGGGTCGTCAGTGGAAATTCAGTTCCTTAATGGTGTGAAGAGAGGAACTGTGGAATTGTGAGGAAAACCACCATGATAATTCAAGAGTTTAGAGTGCCCATTGGAAGCCTGGGCAGTGGAGCTGGGAAGCATCTGGCAGGTGGGCACCCCTGAAAGAGCATCTCTGTGCACCTGGAGGAAGAAGCTCTTTGCAAGTCTTTTCCGTGAACAATGTGGCATGGATGCACCAAGAACTGCTTCTTCCAGGCATGAGAGGGCCTGGGTCCAGAGAAAACACATTTACAGTGTTTCTTTGCTTCTGGGCATCCAGGAAGAGAGCTGTGATGTACTCGATCTTTATATTTCTGTCTTTTTCGTTTTTCTTTTATTGTTTTCAATTTTGAGAACCAGCATTTATGGGGCCTCCCCTGTATGCCAGACGTCATGCTGAATCAGATCTAGGTGTGGCTTCTGAGCCACTGTGATCTAGCAGGGGAGCTGAGACCTGGACACAGTGAACTGTGATGTGACTGTGCAGTCACATCGCATGCAGTCAGTACCTGGCAGACAACAGGCGCCCCTTAACAGCTCATGTTCACTGAGCGCTTATTATGTGTCAGCCCCCCCCCCCGGAGCATTTTATGTGTATTAGGTCACTTCAGCCTCACAGGTCCATGAAGTAGGTGTAACTTATCTCAGATAAAACCAAGGATCAGAGAGGTTAACCATGTACCTTGCCCAAAGTTACGCAGTTAGTAAATTGTGGAGTTAGCCCCAAGGTCCACACACTGAACCACTGCACCAGACTACTTTTCCATGAACATGTGTTAACTGAACAAATAAAGAAGGCCTAAATGCATGCTGTAAAAAAGATGTAGACCAAGCCAAGGGAAGTAAGATTAACCTGGTGATCAGGAGAAACATGATGTCAGGTATGATGCTCGAGGTAGGACTTAATGAATAAAAACGATGGTGGTGAACAGAAGTGGAGAGCGTGTTCTAGGTGGGAGTGAAGGGATCAAGGTGGGCAAACGCCAGTAGCCTGAATTTGTCAGTGATGGTGCCTGCTCACTGCCTCCATGACCCTCTCCTGCTCCACCGGAGCTGCTTAGACCAGAGGTGTTATAGAGTGAATGGTGTCCCGCCTAAACTCCTATATTGAAGCTCTAACCCCAGTACCTTAGAATGGGGCCATATTTGGAGATAGGGCCTTTAAAGAGTTCCTACCCAATCTGACTGGTGGCCTTGTAAGAAGAGGAGATTAGGACAGAGAGAGACACCAGGGATGCACATGCACAGAAGAAAGGCTATGAGGACACAGGGAGAAAACAGCCTTTTGCAAGCCAAGGGAAGGGGACTTAGTAGAAATCAAACCTGCTGACACCTTGATTTTGGACTTCCAGCTTCCAGAACTGTGAAATAATATCTGTTGTTTAAGCAACCCAGTGTGTGGCATTTGGTTATGGCAGCCCTAGGAAAACTAAGAAAGGGGCGTATGATTGACCCAAAGACACAAGGGCATGGACTGGCCTGTGTTCTACCTGGGGGAAAAGATAAACTGGGGCCAATCTTTTCTCCTGGCAGTTAGACCTGGGGGAAACCCTGGAAAGGAGCCAGTGAATTTTGGTGACAGAAATTGAAAGGATGCCATGAGTAAGCGTCAGGACAGTGGTGAGTTGAAGCCATAGGATTGTGGAAATCATAAGGAAGCAAAAGGACTGAACCGTAGAGAGAATAGATTGAAGCAAAAATGCCAAGAGGGAGAGATGAAAGAGAGAGACCCATTGACCATGAGAGGGGAGGAACCATTCCCAAGAGTGGCTTTAGTTCCCAACACCTTTCCAGGTTGGGTCCCAGCCCTTGCCGAGGAGTATTAAGAAGCCCCTTTAACTCAAGGCAACTTGAGTGGATCTCTGATCTCTGTTCCTTGCTCCCTAAAGATCCAGAGTAGCATGGAAGGCTATGTTAAAGGATGAATAAGCAACTTTAAAAAGCCTGTAGGTGTGTGCAGGAAACCAGTGGAGATTAGGCTAGAAAAGAGGGTTGAAGCAACTTCTTGGAAGGCTTGGATTGGAGTGCTAGGATAGGGAGTGCAGAGTATGGGACGATGCTCAGCAAGTGTGTGGCAGGTCTGAGCTGTGCTTCAGATGTATGTATGCACTGAGCCTGGAGCCTGGAGGTTGCAGGGTCATTAGAGAGCTCTCATGATCGTCCAGATAGGAAGTGAAGAGGGCTGGATCTGGGGCAGAAATAGTGTGAATGGAAAATAGGGTGTATTGATTAGGATAAAGACTAGCTGCTATAGCCAACTCTGAAGTGTATAATGGCTCTAACATAGTAGAAGTTTATTGCTTATTCATGTAAAGTCTCAAACAGCTATTCCTAGTCTCCTCCAGTGTTGATTCAGGGACCCAGACTCCTTCCAGGTTGTGGCTACACCATTCTGAATAGCAGCCCCATGCTGGCAGATGGAAAAAGAGGAAATGAACAAGACACGCCCACATCTGGAACCCTCAAACACAAAAGGATGGGTAAGAACTATCAGGAGGCATAATGAATGGAGTGAGAGAAGGGGAGGAGTCACAGACAGCTTCTGGGTAATGAAAGTGTGGTGGGGCCATTTACTGGCCTAGGAGCTGATGGATGCAGTGAATTAACAGACAAGGACACCTGGAGCCTAGTTGCCATTCAGTCCCAGAAGAGCATTTGGAAACAGGGTGGGCATTTAGAATCCACAGGCAATTCTGGTAACTAGAAAATCTTACCACATTCCCCACCACATCCGTGGGGTTCATTTTCGAACTTGTCTCCAGCCTCTTCTCCCAGAAAATGGGCAGCCTTGTTTCCAAGGAGAACCTTGAAGCCAGTGGTTCCAGTTTCCTAGTTTATTGCCTTGAGGCATAGTCCTACTTGATTGCTGGTGATAATTTTTACAGCTAGCTAAGAGGCCTCAACGGCTAGGCAAAGCTCTGATAGCTTAGGGGGCCAGTGCTTATGGCAGGGGCCTAAAAAAGACAAGAGCCCAGGAGAGAGGAAGTAGGAGGGAGGTTCTTGCTTTTGCAGCATGAGAAGAGGGGGGAGAGCAGAGGAAAAGCCAGCGGTGTTCTGAAACAAGGAAGAAGGCCGCCCACTTGCTTCGATTTCTCTGGTAAATATTTGACTGAATGTTTGCCTTTTCTGTGAGTTTTTGGGGCGCTGTGAAGAGCACTGGGCAGAACGCCAGGCTGTCAGAAGCAGCCGTAAACAAGAGGCTGGAGAAGCTCAAAGGACAACCTAGAGAAGCAAATTGCTCACCGGGGCTGCAGGTGGTGCTTTTCCGCAGAGATGATTTCCATGAACGAGAGGTGAGTTCTGAGAGAAGGTCTACGACGAGTCTTGCTGGACCCCGAGTGTTCTGGCGGCCGTCTCCTCGGATGCTGCTGACTCATGGGAATCGGGAGAAAGGCCTGGTGTAGCTCATTTGTAGACAGGCTGGCACGGAGGAAGGAACCATGGAGGGGGTTCCTGGGTGAGTGAACAGATTTCCATGCATCATCCACAGAGCAGTGTGAAGAGCTCAGGCCCACATCGTGTTCGAGGACCCGGGTGTGAGCCCTGGCTCGGCAGTTTTTGGCAAACCTCAAAGCCTCAGTTTCCTCACCTGTAAATCTGGAGCAGTAACCCCTGTCCTGCTTAGCCCACAGCTTGGTGGAGATCATATGAGAACAAGAATGTGAGGGGACTTTGAGAGCTGTGAAGCCCTGCCCAGATGTCAGGAATAAATCTATGTAGGCAGGGTCAGCATCCCAAAAAAGTCCAATGGCTCTGTATATGCTGACATGAGAAATTCCTTTCCTTTTAAAAATGAATTCCCTTTCCTTTATTGATTAAATGAAGAAATTAAGTTTAGTCAGATCCTATTTTTGCTTAAAACTATGTAAGTTATAAACACACTTGCTTAAAACTGTGTAGGTTATAATTATGGGAGGAGAAAGGACTTTTATTTACTGCTTTATACATTTATAAATATTTTGAATGTCTTACAGTGAGCATATATTATGTTTAGAGGGTCATACACACATGGGGGGAGAGAAGAGAGAGAAAGACAGAGACAGAGACAGAGAGAGGGAATCCTAGCTTCTAGTACATAGCTTCAGATATCTCTCTGATTTCCTTAACTTATCTTCTTTAGAAGTGGAATTCCTGGAAATGGAATTGCTATATTTTAAAAGTTCTTCATATACATATTGCAAAATTAATCCTCAGAACGACTATGCCAGTTTACACCCTGACGCTCAGTAAGTGATACCAACTTCTCTTAACCTTCAGTGATGCTGGGTAGTAATTTCAGTGATTCCCAATTTGATAGATAAGACAGCATTTAATCTTAACCTCTACTTTTCTAGTACCTGAAGATTTAAGAATTTATGGAATATTCATATTTCTTCGTGGCTTATTCCTTGGACACTTTTGTTCTTGTGTTCCTTCTCTTTTCATCTTTATTTCACTTTTTCTCTTCTGTACTTTGTTGAACCTTCTTTCATGTACACTTCACACTTTTCAATATACTGGTTTACATTCTATTTATATTCTTATGGTAGTTAGCTATGGATTTTAAACATACTTACTTAGAATTATGTTTTTCTTATACAGCCCAGAAAGAGAAAACAAGTTTCTACGTCACCCTCCTAAACACAATGAGAACTTGGCCATTGTTCTACTTCTCTCGGCGCCCGCGCTGTTTACCCACCTATCCCTCCGCCACGTGGGACGTCAGCTGGTGCTTTACCTCTAAATTGGCATTTCACACATTTTGTTTCACCATAATTCTCTATATATTTAACAATATATTTTACTAATTTCTCTGTTCATGATTGCTTTTAAATCCCTCTCCATCTAGATTTATTTTTCTTATTACTTGAAAATTTCCTCCAACATTTGTTCAGAGAGGAACTTGTGTTTCAAAAAAAGGTGTATATATGTGTACATATATATATATATATATATATATATATATATGTGTGTCACAAATTCACAGTTATGTATTTACTTATGTTATATATAAATGTAAATATGTAAATATTTCTATTATTTATTATACAACTTATGTAACTGTAAATGTGTATGATAAATTTATTTCTTACATATAAATATATATATTTAAAACCCCGTGCTCAGTATTAACAGTAAGTTTTGCTAACACCTTGCCTGCTGTTGCTTTTTGGACCCCCTACTTCCTCCTGGATTTATTCTCCTTATGGAGACTGTGTTGACTTTATTTCCTCAGGAGTAAGCCTCCCACCTGTTGAACCTCTGGCTCTCCTGTGGTGTAGTCTTTCCTCAGATGCTTGCTGGTGCTTGGCTGTGTGCTCATCTTAGTGATGGAGCTTTCCCCTGGGATACTAGCTTTGGGAGGAGTGCCAGCTGCTGCCAGTCCTAGGGCCTCTTTCAGTGCTGTGGGTGGAGGTGGGATGTACCCCTAGGTGGGGTACCTCAGGAGCTGGCTGGCCTGCAGGGGTGGGAGGACACTTGGGTGCCTGAGAAACCCCAGGTCATCGTTCTGTGGTCAGTGGGCAGCCCCCTCCTGCTCCAGCCTCCTGCACTCTGGGTGTAGAACACTTCTCGAGTGGCCCCACGTGTAGACCATGTCGGCTGATACTTTTTCTCTTTGATCTGGTCCCACTCTTTCTCCATTGTTTAGGGTTTGCTAGTAGTTTCTGTCCCCCTGATAGATTTCCTTCTTAATTTCAAATATGGCCATATTTCTTTCTTTTATAAAGCACATCTGATGGTTTTGTATGGAATGGGTAGACTGATGTGTGTGCTCAGTTGACCAGAGCCTGACTTTTACAGTTCCATCACACTGCTGAGAGCTTAAGCTCCCCCATCTCCCACTCCACTTCTAGGATGTTTCAGACTCATGGTCTGAAAACTAGTGCTGGGGAGCACTAGTATTTTAAAGAATTATGGGGGACTGTGTCATGCTTGTGGGCTCCCCAGCAGAGTGCTCTCCCTTGCGACTTCTGAGGGAAAAGTAGGAGCTGGCCAGGGAAGAAAGCACAGGAGATGGCTAGATAGAGGATGCTGGGGTAGGAAGAAAGCACAGGAGATGGCTAGATGGAGGATCTGGAGGTGTGAGCATGCAGAGCTGGTGTGGTGGAAGTGAGAGCAGCAAAAATAAGTGTGGTGAGAGCCCCAGAAAGGAGGTCCCTTTAAAGAGAAGTCACAAAACTGCTGTTATGTGTTTCAGACGTGGGGCCCAGCAGCCCTGTACTANAAGGAGGTCCCTTTAAAGAGAAGTCACAAAACTGCTGTTATGTGTTTCAGCAGCCCTGTACTTNGGCCCAGCAGCCCTGTACTACAAACTCTGAAGCCTGGAGAGGAAAGTCCACACTCTATAGTCCAGATAACTGCTGTCCTGACCCCAGGGCCCAGCAGTGGATCAGGAGTGAGGTGAACCCTGGTTATGGAAAACCGTGTCCAAAGGCTGATTTCCTGCAAAGTTACAGAAGTTTAAGTCTCAGGCTCCTCAGCCGCACAGGCCCCTTCCAAGGCTCTGGGAGGATGAGAGGCACCTTAGTTAAGTGTTATATGGTGATATGTTTCCCTTAAAATACGAAAAAAAATATTTTTGTAGTTTCATTTGAAAAAGATCTCCAAATTATATAAGCTTTGGGCCCCACAAAACCTGAGTCTGACCCTGATTGTCATCAAGAAAAGGAGTTCGATCCAGTTAGTAAGGCAGTTGGTTAGATAATGAGGCCAGAGAAAGAAATCAGAAAGAAGATTAATCCACTTAGGGAAGATACATCACAGATGAGCCGTACTGGCTCTGAGAAAGCAAAATTTTAAAGGATCAGATGATCTTAGTGGGCTACAAGCCAACTCCTCACAGTGATGGTCAAGACTGAAGGGTCAATGCCTGCAGCAGTGACTGATGATGTGAATGTGTTTTTTTGCCATTTCCCAGGACAAGGCAGCCAAATGGCACCTGTGCAGGCTTCGTGAACATGGAACTCTTCCTCCATTACTCCCTCATCCCATCGGTAAGTAAAGGCAGGGGAGGGCTAAGGAGGGGAGGGCGAGGGAATTGGGCTGCTCCCATGCACAGGCTCCCAAAGGGCCCTGAATAGGTCAGCAGAGAGACATCAGCTACATTTCTTCGACTTGCCCTCCTACATTATGCACTAGAAACACAGGCAGAAGAAAGCTTTGAGGGCCATAGAGTCAGGGATACTGGCTTTTCAGGGCAGCAGTGACAGAACTGAGTTTTTCTGGAAGAGGCAATAAAAAGCATTTCAGGCAGAGGGAAGAGCAGATGCAAAGGCTCTGTGTGTGTGGCGGCGGGGTGATTGGAGAGTGTGAGAAACAGAACTGAGAGGGCCTGTGTGGCTGGAGTGAATTGAGGTGGAGCTGTCCAGGAAAGCGGGCAGGACCAGGCCAGGAGGAGCACTGTGGGGCTCTGAGCAAAGGAGTTTTGTCTTTATTCTAGTTACAGTGGGAAGTAATTGGAGTGTTTCCAGCATGAGGGTGGTGTGGTCAGATTTGTGTTTTGAAATGATCACTCTGGTTTCAGTGTTGGGATCGGGTTGGAGGAGGGCAAGACAGGAGACAGGAAGACCAGTTAGGAGATGGCTGTAGGGGTCCAGGTGAGAGGCAGTTTAGGATCATCTTAGATGATGGTGGGCAGCTCAAGATGTTTGGGAGTAAAAGCAATAGAACTTGGTAATGGGGTGGGTAGAGAGGTTAAGGAGAGGGAGATGCTGAGGATGACTTGGGTTTCTCACTTGCACAGCTGGGAGGATGCTGGTATCTGCCATACCCTAGTTAAGGAAAAATAGAAGAGATCCAGGTTTGGGGTGGATGAAGGAATAGGGCAGGGAGGAAGACCCTGAGTTTCATTTAAGACATACTGAATTCAAGAAGCTTTCAACACATCAAAGAGAAATGCCNAGACCCTGAGTTTCATTTAAGACATACTGAATTCAAGAAGCTTTCAACACATCAAAGAGAAATGCCAACTGTGTAGTTGGATGAACAGTTATGGAGCTCAAGGGTAAAGTCTGGGCTAAAGATCGAGTTTGTGAGTCTTCTGGGTATTGGTGGCCACTGAAAGCATGGACGTGGGTGAGATTGCTGAGAAAGAAAGGATCAGACAATAAGAAGAGTGGTCCTTGGACTGTACTAGGAGGAACTCCAAATCTCACAGTTGGATGAAGAATGATCTAATGAAGGAGACTGAGAGGTAATGGAGAAAACCTAGGAAGGTATGGATGGCTAGGGAAGAGTGTTCCTGAGAGGAGTAGGGGTCAGCACTGACAAATGCTGCTGAGAGGTCTGGCTGGATCTGAGCTTCAGGTTCACACTGGATGGATCAACAAGATGGTAATGAGTGACTTTGGCCAGAGCTGCTTCCTGGGAGTGATGGGGGTAGAAGCCAGGCTAAGGGGTTGAAGAGAAAGTGAGAGGTAAAGAAATGAAGTCAGCAAGTATAGACAAGTCTCAGGAAGTTTCTAGTAAAAGGGAAGAGAAAAGGGCCTCAAGTATGTGAGGAAATGACTGAATCTACAGGAAAAGAAGCAGAGGGATTTGTATCCTGACAGTTACCATCCCCTTTTTACAGATGAGGAAACAGATTCAGAGAAGTTAAGTCTCCCTCTCAGCCAGTATGCGGGAGAGACTAGATTCAAATGTGCATCTCTTCAGGGAAACCCAAAGGCAAGCTCATTACAAAACATCTGGAAGCTCCGGGGCATGTGCAGCGAGCTCTAGGCCTCTGGTGTTTGAGGAGTGTCCACAGTTTGAGCGCTCTGCTCACCCACATGTTCTCTTTCAGCGCAGACACCGAGGCCATGCCGAGGGCAAATATTCTCACTGACCCTCTCATCTTTTCCTCCTGTAGCTTTTCATCATTTTGGTCTTGTCCTTTCTCCAAAGACGGGAGCACTGTAGAAACAGAGGTGACACTTCTTACCTCCTGGGGAACTACTTTGGAATCATCATGTGAGTTGAGTCAGGGCTGATCACTGCAGCTCGGGGTACCCAGTGATTGGGGCTAACACCAATTGTCAAACCAGGATAACACCCCACCCCAGGCTTCCCAGGGACAGTGGAAAGAACTTTCATAGACCTTGGCTGGGTGCGGGGCAGGCTCTCCCGCGCCTGTCTGGGACATACGCCTTGTTTTGGTCTCTCAAGTCATACTACCTATGTCTCTCATGGATGAAACTCATCCCATTTTGCTTGTTGTCATGGCTACACTTCAGTACCTTGAATCTATGCCCAGCCCCAGAATTGGCACAGAGGGCCAAAGAAAATGTCAATGGAAATGAATAGTTCACTCCCCGGTGGCTCATCCTCAGGGTGGGACTGGTAATCTGGAGTTGAAATGTGGGATGTCTCAGAGCCACCTTCTGGCCTCATGAGCTGTTTCTCTTGTTCACAGACCTCTGGACTTCGTGGGCACTTTTAGTAACCGATGGTCGTATGGAATCGCATTTGGGGCCACAGCCAATAAGGTCATGTTCTTGTTCTCAGAAGGCTACCAGTCCCTGCAGGTCCCACAGTGGGCCCAAGGTACTAGAGCTGCTTCATAACTGCTGGGAATTTAACCACAGAAATTCTTGCTCTCAGATACAGCATAGCAGGGGTTCTCTGGGATCAGGGTAAGTTCTGTGAACTCAGGGTTCTTCCCAGCCTGTCACTTGTCCAACATCAGTGCCTACCCCACATAGTCTCAAAGCTTGTTTGCGGGACTTTCTCCCAGTTAGATTCAGAGATCCTTTAGACATAGGAGAGCAAAAGTTCATAAAGTAGGTTCACCACCACCCACCCTAAAAATCTCTCCTGAGTCATAGCCGTGACTGCCTTCTTGATATCAATAGGCCCTTCGATACTTCCTCAAAGAGCAGGTTTTCTTTGGCCATTGGTCTGAGACCTCTTTATTCTCCATGCCTCATGCTCTCCCTGAAGTAGCAGTTTTAATCTACAGATTCAACCATCCCTAATACAACAACTTCAAAACCTCTCTGTCCAATCAGTTTCCTCTCAGTGATTCTTGTTTGTTCATTTGATCTGTTTCCACCTATTATACTGTGAGCTAATCAAGGGTAGGGAGCAAGTCTTCATCTCAACAGTTAGCCCAGTGCCTGGCATGGAAGAGGTACCAGGAAGGGTCTGTTGCATGAATGAATGAAAGACACTCCTGCGTTCCTCTATGCTAAGCTGGGGGCTTGTCCACTCATCTCCTTGGGCTCTAAGGTCCATGACTACAAGTCAGCACAAGCCCCATAGCTTCCCTGGGAGAGAGGGAAGAGCCTGTGAGAAGAGGCACTCATGGCATATCTGGCCCTGTCTCTTGCAGCCTTTGTGCTTCTGGTTGGAGGCATCGAAGTCGGCCTGTCCCACTTCCCCTTCTTTGCTTGCCTCTCGTCAGAGTTCCGGCTGGTGAGCTCCATCCTGGGCTTCAGCTACTCTCTGATCTGGTAAGAGGGATTCTGCCTGCCTGCCCTCCTGCAATTCCTTTGGCCATTGCTGCACTCTGGACAAAGGGCTGGAGGTGACCTGATAGCTCTCCCTGGAGGACACCTTTGCTCAGAACTTAGGCCCACGATAGGGGGAATGACTGGTCCATGGTCCCACTGCGGCCCCTCCTTGGGACTGCACTTGAGCCTTCAGAAGGTCGGCCAGCATTCTGTCTGCTTCACAAGAAGCCATTCATGATTCGAATAGTCCTCATAGTCAGATGTAGAAAAATTCATTTCTGTAAACTGCAGAGGGTCCCACTGGCGGCAGCAGGAGTCCTGTGCGGATGCTGCTTCCCTGTGTTGCCATGGCTTCCCTGGAGCCCAGGAGAACGTGCATGCGCCTCAGTCTCTCTCCACCCCCTAACCAGTCTCAGGCACATGTGCAAGTCACATGGAACTCCTGCACTCCTTCACCCATGCTCTCATTCATTTAGCAAGCATGCTATCCCCACATGAGCCAGGGAACATACCGGAAAGCAAGGCAAACCCTCACGATCACATGTTCTGGCTGCTTGTCTTTATGCTGCTCTTCCCGTGAGGATTATCTTCCCCCACCTGACCCAGTGACAGATGGGTGCTCATCCTTTGTGGACTGTCACACCTACAGGTGGGAGCTTCATGGCCCTCAGCAACAGACCAGCACAGACCTGGCCCCAGGGAATATTGCTGACAGGATAATCCCATGAACAGTTCCACTCCCCAGTCCTGATAGGCTCATTTCCTTGACCACATCTCCTTTATGGGGTCTGCTTCCCCCACAGCATTTTCTGAGCAGGGGTCTCAGGCCCAGTGTATGAGGCATGCAGGGGGCTGACAAGTAACTAACACACCAGTGGCTGCAATTCCAAAGTGTATAAGTGGCTTGTTTTTAAAAAATTACAAGAGAGGGTATTCACTATTAGATGTGGAGTAATGTCTTAGCCTATGACAGACTTTTTGACCAAGAGAGGACAGGATGGCAGGAATCACGCAGCAGCTTGGACACCATGAGCGTATGACTCAGGCTCGAACATGACCGGGAATGTGTGTTCAGCAGGAGTAAAGCCTTGAGGCTCATTCCTCAGGGCGGGGTTTACAGACAAGATCATGTCCAGGCAGACAGAGCCTCAGGTCCAGAGCCAGGAGACCTGGATGTTGGTACTGGCTCTGGTGTGACTCTGGACAAATCCCTTCCCATCTCTGGGTTCAGTCTCCCCATCTGAGCGATGGGGGAGGGAAAATGAGGTCGCACAGGGTCTTCCTGCTCTGCCATTATGGATTCTGGGATTGTATCTAAACTGAGGAGGGCACTAAATGAATTTCGTTGCATGTACTTAGGCACAAGCAGGGTCCCTGATCTGGGTGGGGTACACAACACACGGAGGCCTGGGAACCAGCCCTGTCAAGGGGGTAACTCCAGGCAGGTGGGATCTGGGCTGTTGTCACAGGGGCTGTGCTGGGAGTACCGGAAGCCCTGCTTCTCTCCTGCAGGTTTGCTGTCACCATCCTGCACATCACACAGTGTCCCCATGGGCAGGTGAGTCCCCACTGAGCTAACTTTAGGGTATTCATTTCTGTCACCATGGCGAACTCGCTGTGTGAGCTTGGACAAGCCTCTGCCACTCTGTGGGCCTCAGCTTCCTCCTGTGTGCAAAAGGGAGTTGGAGCCATTCATGATGCGTCCATTGTACAGCATCTCATGTTCACCAAGGTGCTAATTCAGTTAACGCTCACAGCAGCCCCTTGAGATAGGGAAGCTCTCAGCAAACCTGTTTTATAGGTAAGGAAGCTGAGGCCCAAGGATGTGACATAATTCTTAAGAAGCAGCAGATCTGGGCATTGAGACCAGGTCTGATGATTCCAGAGCTCATTTCTTCCCACACCTTTATGTGGCCTCACTTTCTCTGTCTATTAACGGGAGACTTGGACTAGATGAACTCCTTCCAGCTTTTCCATGCATTGTCCTCAGAACTGATACAAACTAGTTCATCTGCTTAGTTCTATACCCCAGTAAAAGGAGCAAGAGGTCTCTCTCTGCCTCTTTCCCTCTCTTTCTCCTTTGCCTCTCCCTCCCTCCCCCTTTCTCTTGTGTGTATTTTCCAAAAGGAGCCTTTAGTACTTAAAATCAGAAAAAAGCCATGAAAGCCCTTTGTACAAAATAAAATGGGAGTGCTGGACTCATATCCAGGGCTGCTGGATGCCAAGTCCACTGCTTATTCCAGTGTGGGGCTAGGGGAGCAGGGATCCAAGATCTGAGAGAGTGGGCCTTGGTGGGAGCAGACTGGGGCAGGCAGGTTCCTCTCCACACTCCTCCAGGGGCCTAGCCCTGCCCCTTCTAGATCCAGTGCCCAGTGATCTGCTTCTGTTGCAGTTTTTGGGGAGGTACGAAACTGTCATGTTCTACTGGCCCTCACTGCTGTGCCTGTGCTTCCTGCTGGGCCGATTCCTACACATGTTCATCAAGTCTCTGCGGGTCCACCTGGGCTGGGAGCTCCCCACGGTGAGTACTGAGTATAAGCACTGTGCATGCCCTGACAGGTTTGGTCTTCACGACAGTCCGTGTGGTGGATACTGTTATTACTCCTGCCATTCCGTAGTAGGAAACTTGGACCCAAAGAAGTGAGTTGTGTTGCCCAACGTCACATACCTAGACTGTGGCAGAACCAGAACAGGAACCCAGACAGTTTGGTTGTTGAGGCTCTTTCTTAACCAGTGTTCTTTGTCTGCTTCCTTGAGGTATAAAGGTAAATGGTTTATTTGAGATCTTTCTTCTGTTGGTGTAGACACTTACCACTATAAACTTCCCTCTTAGAACTGCTTTTGCTGCACTCTGTAAGTTTTCACCTGCTGTATTTCCATTTTCATCTGTTTTAAAATATTCTTTGATTTCCCTTTGGATCTTTTTTCTTTGACCCATTGGTTGTTCAGGGGTGTATGGTTGAACTCCCACACACCTGTGAGTCTGCCACTTTTCTTCCTGTTACTGATATCTAGCTTTATGCCATCGTGGCCAGGACAGATACTTGATACTTTAATTCGTTAAGACTTGTTTTGTGGCCTAACATGCAACCTGTCCTGGAGAGTGGTCCCTGTGCTCTTGAGAAGAGTATCTGTCCTGCTGCTGTTGGATGGAATGTTCTGTATACGTTTATTTGGTCTATTGGATCTGTAGTGTTGTTCAAGTCAGCTGTTTCCTTACTGATCTTCTGACTGGATTATCCATCCATTGTTGAAAGTGTGGTGTTGAAGTATATTATTGTGTTGCTGTATATTTATCTCTGCAGTTTTGTTAGTAATTACTTTATATGCTTAGGTGCTCCGATGTTAGGTGCATATATATTTACAATTATTATATTCTCCTGAGGAACTGACCCCTTTATCATTCTATAATGATTTTTTTTTTTTTTTGTCTCTCATGACAGTTTTTGACTTAAAGTCTATTTTGTCTCCTATAAATGTAGCCAACCCTGCTCTATTTTGGTTACCATTTGTATGAAATATCTTTCCCAGTTTCTTTACTCTCAGCCCATGTGTGTCCTTGAAGCTGAAGTGAGTCCCCTATAGGTAGCTTGTATTTGTATAATGGTGTTTTTTTTTAACCCATTCAGCCACTCTGTGTCTTTTGATTGGAGAATTTAATACATTTACATTTAAAGAAATTGATAGGTAAGGACTTAGAATTACCATTTTGTTAACTTTCTGACTGTTCTGTGATTCTTCCTTTCTTGCTTTCTTTGTGATGTGATTTTTTTTGTAGTGGTATGCTTTGATTCCTTTTTAAAAAATCTTTTTTTTTGGTATAAAACACGTTTTTCTTTGTGATTACTATGTGGCTTACACAAAACACTTTATACTTATAACAGTCTATCTTAAGATGATAACAACTTACTTTAATTGCATAGAAAAACTCTGCACCTTTCTCCTCACTTTCCCTCATGGGAAAATTTGCAGGCCAAGGGGGGGGTGTGTCCCTTTATGTACTGAGCTATGTCACCTTGGAGGACAGTGACATTGGTAAAATGAAACTGTTCTTTTAACCCTCTTCAATGCATCGCTTCTCAGAGTGTTTGTTTGACCGTGGTTCTGGAACCTCCCATGTGCACTCTTGGGCTCCCATAAAGTTACTCGCATGTGTGGGTATTTGTCAGAATTGGTATATCAGAGTAGCCTGGGGGTGGAGCCCCTATTCCTCCATCTTGTTGATACTACTCACCAGTCAGGACTCTAACCAGATGCTTTGTACTCCACCTAACATCTACAATATATGATTTCATCTCATGTGTAAAATTTACATATTCAATATGTGTAGCAGAATAGATGACTACTGTGGGACGCTCATTACACTCGGAGAAAACATTTTAAAACATACCATTAAACATACCATTTATTTTTTTAAATACTACAACATAAAACATGAGCAAAAGAAAGTCCTCCTACTCATAAGAAGTAAAAACACTGGGATTTGGGGTGTTCATTTCGGAAACAATGTTTTGAACTATGATGGGAAGTCACCAAATCTCAAAGAGAAGAAAGACTTCACAGAGCAAGTAAGCAGAAGAGTCAAGGAGGCCAGACCTTGGGCAGTTCATGAAAGCAAGTGCTTGGGAAACAGGAGACTAGACCCTGCCCTTGTCTTCATTAAATGACAGGTGTCTGGGAATGGCTGAATCCAAAAGAGCAAGTTTCACCCAAATTCCTGCCCTCTGTGGGGATAGCCCGTCATAGAGACCAAAACCCTAAAAGAATTTGTGAGCCGAAGCATATACCTCTCTCTCTTCTCACAGGAAGAAAAGCCCTTCCTAGAAATTCACCAGGCAGAGCACATCAAGCAGCTCCTGCGGAAGCCGCCCCTGCAGTAAGCCACAGTTTCATTCCTTCACCACTGGTGAGCCCTGACAGTGTGGGACCCTGAGATGACTGGAAGTGCTCTATATTAGTCAGGACTCTTATTTGCTAGTAACGGAAACTCAACTCAAACTGGATTAATGAGAAAAAGGAAATTTATGGCCTTACGTAATTTAAAAGTCTAGTGGTAGTCAGTTTTAAACATAGGTGGGTCCAGGGGCTTTATTGCTGTCATAAGAACTAGGTCTCTTTCCCTCATCCCCTCTTAGCTCTGCTTTATTCTGGGTTAGCCTTCTGGTTAAATGGGTTTCCTCCTCATGGTGGCCCCTAGACTCTTTAAGCTTATACCCTCCTGGTTTGAGCTCACAGGAAAGAGAAAGTTTCTTATCTAATAATTCAAACCAAAGTCCCATGAATGTGTTTCATTGGATCAAATTGGACCAGATGTCGTTCCAGAACCAATTACTGTGGCTAGGGGATTGGAGTAAAGTGATTGTTAAGACTGGGTCACGTGTTTGCCACTGGGACCAGGAAGTGGTTTAGCCACACTTGCCCACTAAGACTGATGGTGGGAAAGGAGTAGATTTTCAGAGAAAAACTCATATTCCATTACCAATAAAAGAGAACATAGCTGTTGGCCAGGCAAAAGTACGTGATCTTCAGCGATCATAGTGGTCACCCGACCCCTGCCACTACCACTATATGCAAGAGAATATGCCCGCAGAGAAGGGACATGTCTAATCCAAGGTCACACAGTGACAAAGCTAGTACTTGCCTTAGAACCACATTTCGCTACATGTAGTAAACAACACAATATAATAGTGGCACAAATGAGAGAGATTTATTTCTTATGTAAAAGAATTTTGGAGGCTGCAGTCCACACTGACCCTGGACTGCTCACCATGGCAGCTTACCGAACATCTGTCTCTCTGCTTCAGTATTTTAGTGGTTTCCATCATGAAAGCTGTCCATGATCCAAGATAGATTCCAGGGCTCCAGCCTGGATCAGCCACTATGTCAGCATTTCAGATGGCAGGCAGGAGAAAGAAGGAAGGGCAGTGGAGTTCCTTCCAGCTGTGTTGATTCTATCTGAGCATCCTCCCCAAAGTCCCACACCGCCCCTCAGGTCACATCTAATTGCCCTGTACTTAGTCTTGGTCACTCTTAGCTGTGATAGAGGTCAGAAGCTATAGCCTTTGATTTTGGTGAATTGCTGCATCAAATAAAACCTAGTCTCTGCTATTAAGAATAAGGAGAGAATGGAAACTATAGAATCTACCAGTGTTTTTTCTCTTCACTAAAATCTAACATGAAGAGGGGTAATGAGGTTACTTACAAAAGAATCAGACATTTGTTTACCAACCACAACCTGTCTTTTTTTGGTGTTTACTCATTAACAGAGAGAGAAAAAAGTCTTGGTTCCAAACCAGGATATACGAGTGGGACCCCTGCTTTCAGTTCCCAAGCAGAATGATCGGAACCACTGTGTTGGCTTTCATCTGCCTGTACCTTGTAAGTAGATCTGAGCAAATCCTTTTCTGTTTTATAAATGGGGTGGGCCTAGGATAGGGGTTGTTCTTAAAAAGCTGGCTCAAAATTTAATCTCTGTAAGTCAAAGAAGTACAGTTCTTTGACCCAACAATTTTGACTCCAAGCACACTTTTACCCATGTGGTGAATATTACTAATAAATGTATTCAAATTGTTTATGGAGACTTCCAGCTGCCAATTCCACATGTAAAGAGCTTGCAAAATGCCATTCTATCTAACAACAAATAAAAATCTAAACAAACTGAAAAAATCAACAACTCTTCTTAGATCCATAGGAGAAGTGAGGTTACACTTTATTGAGGTCTTTTATGTTACACTTTTTACTTAGCCAAATAAAAATCATGTCACTTAAATATAAAATAATTGATCCTGACAAATAATTTTAATGAATTAAAAATAAAAGTGGATAAACTTGCTGTACTATATTTCAAAAAAAGGTCAAAAACTTAAATGTCTTATTTCATTTTGCTCTTAAGTTTGCTTTCTCAACAAAATTTTAAATGTCATAATTCAGGCCTCAGTATTCAGTGTATTTTTTTATTAAGCACAGAATCAAAACATTTCATGTGGTCAAAGTTATCCATGGTAAACTGTCTGGGTCAAAAGCAGGGTCAGAGTAGAGAGATAAAAATGGCAAGGCCAAATTGCCTCCTGCTCATTTTAAATGTGCAAGGATGATACCTATAAAAATTAATCCTACGATTACATTTTCAATAACTATTAGTTAAGTTATGCTGAAATACCACATAAACCCATACATTTTAGTGACTTAACACTGTATGTAGTTTTGCCCACATAACAGTGCTGAATGGGTGAGTGCTGAGGTTTGGGAGGTAGCAGATCCTGTGTGTTATTCCGTAACCCAGGTTCTTCCATCCTGTGCCCCATCATCCTCGAGAGCCCTCACCATCTACATCCAGTTGGCAGAAGGGGAAAGTGCGTGGAGAGTGCATGTGGGAGGCTTTCAAAGGCCCTTGTGGAAGTAGCACACTCCTTTTCCATTGCCAAGGGCATTGTCATGTGGCCACACTGAACTCAAGGGAGGCTGGGAAATGTAGTCCAGCCTCCTGCCTGAAGAAGGGGAGAATAGATATTAACGGACAACCAGAGTTCTCTGCCACAGTGAATAATTCACTTGGAGTTACTGTGGTTCTTAAGTCTTTACTGGTTATCTACTGTATTCCAAGCACTTTACTAAGACCCGACAGAGAAGACAGCTGATTAGGCAGAGCCTTGACCTGGGAGAAGCCCATGGTTTAAGAGAAGGGGACAAGATATGGTATAAGTGCCTGCCATCTAAAGTGAGAAAAAGAAAGCGAGTGTGCTCTGGAGGCGTAATGAATTATTCTAGACTCAGAAGCCGCCTGAAGACGATAGCATCTGAGCGCCACGTTCAGAGATAAACAAGAATCAGTTGGTGAAGTAAAATGGTGGCAGGAACTCCAGAAGTAATGGCACGATGGCGCGATGATGGGCACGATGGCGTGAGGATGGGCACGATGGGGCAAGGAGGGGGCACGATGGCGCCATGAGGGGCACGATGGCGCGATGATGGGCACGATGGCGCGATGATGGGCACGATGGCGCAAGGAGGGGGCACGATGGTGCGAGGAGGGGCACGATGGCGCAATGATGGGCACGATGGCACGATGATGGGCACGATGGCGTGAGGAGGGGCAGAATGGCGCGAGGAGGGGCCACGGTGGCGCAAGGAGGGGCACGGTGGTGCGAGGAGGGGCACGGTGGCGCGAGGAGGGGATGATTGGGATGAGCAAGCATGACATGTCCAGGAAACAGTACCTTCTTCACTTTGGCGTCACTAAGATGCAGGAAGGGGAGCACTGAGAGATAGGACTGGAATTGTCCCCAAGGTTGCCCCTTATTCAGCTCTAGGTGTTCATCTCACTCTGATTTAATGTTTGGAGAGTTCCTCGAGCCCTTGTGGAGCTCCATCTTGTACACTGTAAGGTGAGGAACAGAGTTTGGGTATCTCCCATCTACAGAGAAGCCACAGTCCCATTCTTCTCAGGGTAGCCAGTGTCCAGAGTCTATTTCAGATGAGTGTTGAACTTCAAAGAGTTTTGACCTCAAAACCAAAGAGAATTCCATATGTTATTCACATACTTGGCAAAAGCTGGACTTGGGTGAGACCTTGAAATGCTTGCTCTGTGTCCCCAGTTTATTGTCATGGAGTTCGCCGTGTTCGTGTATGTGAGAGACAAGCTGGATGTGTTTGAGAGCAAGTTAGAGAGCTACATTGCCTCCGTGAACCAGACCGGGACCCTGACCCCAGTCATCCTGCAGGTGAAAGACATGATCCACATCTCCAAAGGTAAAACCATCCTTGCACATGGTTGCTGTTTAACTGGAGGTGGGTTGCCACAGCCCCAAATTGGCAATTAGAAGTTTGATGGAGTTTTACACTGTGTATACCCTGCAGTGTATTTACGCCATAACTTTCTCTTCACATTATTCACGGGATTGGAAACATTAATATCAAAGGAGAGGACAGTGCAGGAAATAAAAGTATCTCAAGGATGTGTATGGTTAAAATAAAACTGAAATATATAAGCACAACTGTATTTATACAAGAAATGTGTTAGAGGAAGTATAATATATTTTGCCCAGGCCTTTCTGATGTGAGCTTCTTTATTTTGAAAATTCTGTTTCTGGTTCATCTTTGGACACCTCTCCTGTCACCTTTTTTGTTTCAGGGGTCTGGGTGGTTACCATTTTGCCTGCCTCCCTCACGTGTGTGAGCTATCTCTTCCACATTTTGGCTTGTTACAGGTAAGAGGGCTCAGGGAGTCATTTGTGCGTCTTCAGCCAGGAAGGCATCTGACAGGATTTTCTAAGAATTCCCAAGCAGTGCCAGCAGTGCCCAAAGTGGAGCCAGGAGTGTTTGCAAGGTCCAGGCACAGCCACATCTATTGTTAGTAAAGAAACAAACAAAAACTATTGACTTGAGCTTCTCCTATAACCCAAACATTGTGCTAGAATCTTCATTTTCACCACAACCCTGAGGGGTACTTTCATCTCCGTGTTTATAGGGGAGAAAGCTGAAACTCAACAAATTATCTTACCCAAGCAAGTAACAGCTGATCATGTCTTCCGACCCCAGATCTTGACATTTCTTGTACACTCTGGCATCTCTATTGGGTGTCAGACCTGCCCTGCTCTTCAGGACTCGTCACACTGGACTGTCAGCAGATAAATGCGGCTCAAGGGGACATCAGAGGAGATTGGGTCAAGGGAACCAGGGGCCTCAATCTCAAGAACAGCAGTCAGTGCAGGAGGAGGGGATGGCCTTCAATATGTAGCAAGGACTTGCGTGCAGATAGCAGTTGAGTTTTAGGTATCTACTGCTCCCGTGTGTGCTCATGAAGAGACCCCACCTCTCCATCCCTGCCCGGCCTTGCTCCCTCTCACTTCCTTCTCCGGGACCCTGTGGGTAGACTGGACACTGATGTTGTCCCCTGCCTTGCTTGATGAAGGAAGATGTCTGTTCTTTTCTTGATTAGTCTTCAAGTGACTGAGAGATTTTCAGAGGCATTTGACCACAACCAGGGACAACCACTGTGCAGAGCAGGCTGCATAGACGTTGGCAGAGGGCAGCTGAGGGCACAGGGAAGGGAAGTCAGGTGTGCTGGGGAGGGAGGCCTCATTCCTGTCCAGGCTGGCTCCCCCCTCCCACACGTGTCACCCAGGAGTGATGATCCCTGCCCTGCCTCCTTTACAGATCATGGGGCAGAGGAAATAATGGATGAGAAAGTGCCCTACAAACTGGGAACCACTAGCGCTGTGCCAGTATTTTATTTTTCTCAGAATTATTCCAATTTACATACAAGCTCTATTTTTAAAAAATGTTTAAAAATATTTAGTATAAAGTAAGTCTTCCATTCAGACCTCAGTTTGTTGCGCCTGAACTTAACATTGTTATCCATTTTCTGAGCATCCTTCCAGAAATTTTCTATGCTGATGTGTCTGTGTGTGTTTGTGTTCCTGGTTGCACACTCTACTCCAGTGCTGCCAAATAGAAACACAGTGAAAGCCACAGGTGCACTTTTTAATTTTCTCATAGACACAAGTAAAAAGGGAGGTGAAAACAGTTTAATGATATATTTACCCTAACATAACCCAAATACCATCACTTCCACATGTAATAAATACACAAACTATTAATGAGATGTTTACACTCTTTATTTCATACCAAGTATTCCCAATTCAGTGGCCATGAAATTACAAAGCAACCTGGAAAGTGCTGAAGATAGAATGTTAAGGAAAAAGCAGGGCCCAGATGTGAATTTGGACTATGAACTTGACTCTGCCAATCTGATCTTTACACAGAGGTCCAGGCTGCGACTAGCACTTGGGAAAACACAGTGATTTATTGAGGTGCTGGGATTGTGGAGGGTCGTGGCCCCTTTTTCATTTCCCTCTATGTTGTTATAAGGCGTGGGATATCATTAAAAATGGTTTTCTGGTTTTATCTGTTTTAAAGTATTATATTATTACACAAGTAATTTACATTCACTGTAGAAAAAATACAAAACATAAAGCAAAATGAAGAAAATAAAAGCCACATACACAGTCTCAAATATCACATCTAGTCACCATTAAGACTAGGTAACTATATATTATTTTTATAAAATATATTAAATTTAAGATTTTTAAGGCTAATCAGAACCATCCATGAACTAGGGTCAATAGTAGGGGCTAAGCTGCCCTCCATCTCCCTCCATAGACCTTTCTGTTTATATCTATTGAGCTCTAAGTGCATGAGGAGCTGTGGTTATGAACACTACTAATTTCCCACCCTTTCTCTAGAAAGCATATGAAGAAATTGTGGGCAGGAAATAAACACTTTCTCCCTCTGAAGTTCCATAATCCTTCCTCATCAGGGAGTGTGGTAAGTCTGCGGAGACCCGTCTCTGCCCTGAGCCTGAGTGATTTGCCTACCCCTGCGCTCCTGCACCTCGGACAGGGCAGCGTGGCGGGGAAGAGCCCTGGGCGGCAGCCCAGAGTCCTCAGTTCTGCTCTGCTGCTGGTGACGGGACAGTCACTGTCCTCGGGCGGCTCTTGGTTGGTTTCCTTGTCTGTAAAATGAGGACAGTCACCTGTCTCGGTGGGTTGGTGGGTGAATCGCCAATGAGACAGGGATGCTGGACATATGTATCAGGTGTTCAAGGATTTCTCCCCGCTGGGACCATTTTCCCTTTTAAATCCCAGGTGGCCATTGCGAGGTACTCTGGCTGGCAAATAGCTTACATTTTGTGGGGTAAGTGCCATCGTGTGACCCATCCAATTCAACACATGTTCCCTGGGCACCTGGTGTGCGTCGGGAGGACAGAGGTGAGGCAGAAGCAGCCCCAGCTCCTGCCTTTGAGGGGCCTTCAGGAAGGAGAGAGAATCACCTGGTCATGTAGATCATTTTTACCACCTGTCCTGAGCCCACAGGGTGTATATGCCAAGGGCGGTTGTGACCCAGAGGAGGAAGTGACAGTCCACACCCAGGGCCGGGCTTGAGTGCATCTTAGTGGAGTTGACCTTTGAACCGCACCTGGCAGGGCGAGCAGAAGGTCAACAGGAAGAAGAGTGAGGACATGCCAGGCAGAAGAAACAGCACAAACAAAAGTGCCAGGACCTCTGGTGGCAGGAGGATAGATCGGGGCTGCAGACGGGAACATGTGACTGGGTCACGGAGGGCCGTGAGTGACCACCGGCCCCCTTGCCCACAGGCTATTTCATTGTCCACGTGATGCAGAGCCTGTGCGGCGTGGTGATCACGTATAGCCTGGTGTTACCCATCGTCCGCAACCAGGGCCTGGAGGTGCTCCGAGGACTGGGCGTCGGGATGTGAGTACTCAGTGGACTTCCTGTCATTGCCCAGGCCTGGCAGCTGGTGGGCTCTAGAGCTGCTGTTCAAAATGCCCTTTTCCTGCTAAGTTCTCACTGATCCCTGGACCTATGCCCTTAGCTCTGATCCAGGCATGTGCCAAAATAGCAAAGCACTGCAATAGGAACCTTACAATTTATAAGTTACATATTTCCATTCTCATTATTCATCGGGGTCTTCACAACTATGTCTGGGGCAGATGCACATATGTCCATTTTATAGCTGGGAAGATTGAGGTTTGGGGAGGTGAAGTGAGAGACAGGACAGTATAGTGGAAGGAGAGAGTGAATCTGAGCTTAGGTTTTAGATCAGCTGTATGACTTGGGGAAGTTGCTTCTCTGAGTCTCAGTTTCTCCATATGGAAGATAAAAGTGAATGCTGACATTGAGAATTCACTATGTGCCTTTTCTCTCAAGAACCTTTGAGGTTGGGACTTCTATTAGCTCCCTCATTTTCAGACGAGGAAACAGAGGCACAGAGATGTGAAGCAACTTGTCCACGGACAGGGAAGAGCAGAACTCGGAGCTGGACAATCTGAAACCAAAGCCTCATTTAACCACTACCCCACACTGCTGCTTAGGGGATGCAGATACAGACTGTGGTGCTCCCTGGACACCTCCCTGCTCTGTGCTTCTTGCTTCCATACTTACCTAGGGACACCCGGGAGTCTGGTGCAGAGCCTGCCCTCTTCACTCTCGCATGGCCTTCATGAGCTCTTCTAAAAACCCCATTCCTTTCTTTGATTCCCATGCTCTTAAACCACTCATCTCAGTTGCCACCCCTGGATCCTGGAGTTCTGGTCTAGAGCTAGAACCCTGACCATGTGGCTTTGAGAAAGTTATCTCCCCTTTGGGAGCCTCAGTTTCCTCATCTGCACAATGGGCATGTGAATGCTCTGTAGGCCTAAAGCACAGAGCTCATTGCTCCTGCTGGTCTGGCGAGTCTCAGCATTTCACTGGGTATTTATCACTGGGCAACTGAGAAGGGCTGGAGAAGAGTGGACAAGGCCACCTCAGGATGGTCTCACCCTGTGTTTCAGCCTCACCATATCCATCGTCCTGGGTCTCATGATCCTGCAGGTATGGATCGCTGCCAGCTTCTTCCTACAACCAAAGATGGACACAGCTGACAAGCAGAAGCCCTTGGCACTCAGCAACAGGTGAGGGCAAAGAAGAGAATGGCGATTGTAGGACTTTGGTCTCAGCAATCTCTCATTCCTTCCTCTTCACCATTGACAGGTTCCTGGGCAGACTCTATACTCTCTTAGAGGGTGAGGGGCAGTGGTTGAGGAGTGGGCTCTGGAGCCAAACTCCCTGGTTCCAAATCTTGGCTCCACCGCTTATGAGCTATGTGACCTTGTGTGACCTTACTAAACATTATGAATGTCAGTTTCCTCATTTTATAAATAATTGTGCATACCTCAAAGAGGTGTTCTGAGGATGAAATGTGTTCAAATATGAACTAGGACAATAGTGCCTGGCCCGTGGTAATCCTTTCTCAGTTACTTATTCAAAGCCATTCACTGATGGAGGAAACAGCATGGGCACTGAAGATAAAGAGATATCCCCCCAGGACCTGCCTGTGAGAAGCTCATTGCCCACCGGAGCTGACTGACACAGACATATAGGGACAGTAGACTCCAGAGGGTGTGAAAGGATTTCAAGAGAAACACAAGTAATTGGTAGAAGGGAGGCAGGAGTGGTTAATTCCGCTGTAGGTGGGACGTTCGAGCTGAGGTCGGTAGGATGGTGGGATTTCTACAGGTAGAGCTGAGGAGAGGGCATGGCTAGCATCCCCCACTGCACAAGTGAGGCAGGAGGCCATGAAAGGGCAGGACGTGTTAGGAAAACGGTGAGAGACAAATGTGGTGGCCATGCAGTGGCCTTGGATGGTGAGGTCAGGGAGGGGGCACAAAGTACAATGCCAGAAAGTCCTCTTTTGAGGATGGCCCAGAAATTCAATATACAAAGTTTGGGCTTATCTCATAGGCAGCAGGAAACCATATGATCAACTGGTCATTTGGGAAATTTCATCTGGAGGACTTGGAGCAGTTTCAACTGGGGGCAGGTCACTGTTACAATAGACATTGGGAAAGCCACAGCCTCTGCTATAACCACACAGAAAGTTGTGGCCACGTGAGATTTCTTATTGTTCAGGAAACCTCAACACCCAAGGATCTGTCAAATAGTACAGTCGGTGCTAGCATTCGTCCTGCACTGTGCTCACCCATCAAACGTTACAGTTGCTGCTAGCGTTCATCCTGCACTGTGCTCAGAGCCCTCTACGTTACATCTGAGCCAGTCTGCACACCAGTGCTGTGCGGTGGGGACAGTCAGCTCCCGCTTACATCACGAGATCACACAGCTTGGAGCCAAGAAATGTAGGATTTGAGCCCGCCTGCCTGACCACCTTCCCACACTGAGGGTGCGCCCCACTGCCTGCTTCCATTCGCAGGAAGGCGTTCCACAACTTCAACTACTTTCTGTTCTTCTACAACGTGCTCCTGGGCCTGGGCGCCTGCCTCTCCAGGCTGCTCATCAGCTGCATCCTGGGCACGTGGCTGATTGCCCGCATCGACAGGACCATCATGCAGAATGGCTACGAGGGAGCAGACATGGGTAAGCGGCCAGCCCCCGATGGCCACGCGTGGACTTGCACCTTTGCAGAAGCCGCCTGGAGGTCGGGTACCAGAGGCCTAGAGTTCATTCTTCATCTGTTTAGAGCTTATCTTCCCGGGGAGGCTATAAAGCAGAGTAGAAAGAAAAAAACAAAACCACTGCACCCAGTGGTCAGAAGAGAATTCAGGCCATGGAATACCTGCGGAGCTGACGGGCCTTTGCGGTATATGGCGGGCAGTGAGCGGTAGCGCAATTCTCTCTAAATGGGTAGGAGGCGATTTATGAGTGCACGGCTCTGAAATTTTTGAGGAAGAACACACCTCAGAATGACTGGCATTGTTAGTTGGAAACTTACTTAGATAAGAAAATGGCCTGTTCAGTTGAAATACTCCAAAATCAAAGCCATTTCTGTAGAGCAAAAATAGTTTTTGTTCTATTACTGGCCCGTGTCCATTCATTCACTCATCTGTTCATTAAAGGAGCTGCAAGCTCCTTTGAGCTTTAAGTTTCACATGAAATGGGTGGATTAGAATGTGATCTGTAAGGACCCTTCTAGCTCTTTTTACCCAATTTTCTAGATTCTCAGTGAAGACTCAGGCACCATTTAGGAACAAAGTGACACTGCAGTTATGTCATGAAAAGCATCCGCTGGGCCGCCCTGGGATGTGCTGCATGGCCTGACTTGCCCTCTGGATTTCAGGGTTCAGTGCATGGGTTGGCATGCTCTACGTGGACCATTATCACACCAACCCAGTGCTCGTCAGCTTTTGTCACATCCTGATCACAGGCCACAGGGAGAGGAAGCTGCAGCAGGCCATCAGATATGGGTACCTAAATCGGTCAGCAGGTAAGTCTCCAGCTTGAACCTTCCCTGTGCTTGGACACCAGGAATGAGTACCTTAAGGGTTTTCTGGGATCCCTAAGATGTCCCAGGTTCCCCCGTCTTGTCTCTTCTCCTCCACATTCCATGCCCTGGGAAATCCACCTGGGGAATCAGGAGGGTTAGCCCCCGAGTCAGCCTGGCCATGGGACCCCTGAGGCCTAGTGTCCTTGTTCTAACTGGCTCCTCCCTGTTCCCAAAAAATTAGCTCTAGCTCTGCTGAGTCCTCCATCCCCCATTTGAGACCCCACGCACATCCCAGCCTTCAGCCAGATGCCCTCCAAGAGGGCACTCAGTTGTACCTACCATCAGCTCTCCTGGCCACCAACTCCTGCCCCCTCAGGGCTCCATGCTGTGTACTCCCCATACTTCCACCCGTATTCCTCTGCTCTGCCTCCTGCTGGGAAGCCCTCAGTCATGTTTTGTCAGCACCCAGCTGGACTGTGCTCATCACTGTTCCCAGCACTACAGATACCCAGCTCTGTGGGACAAACACCTCCTTCCACCCCTACCTCATGTCCCCAGGAGGTCTGGTCCAGCTCTTTCCCCCACTTTTATCCCACACCTCACACCTCTTGGGCAGTTTTTCTTGCAGCCTCTGAGAAGGACAGAGACAGCTGCCCCCTCCCCTCAGTCTACCTGCTCTGATTCTATCCTAGGTCCCCGCATCTCAGCTAGGTCCAGGACAAGGTGGCTCCTGCTGCAGACCCTGATCAACAACCCCAGACTGGTCATGCTCAGAAAATCAAAACTAGGTCATGGCTCCCAGGAGTTTACCCAGATTCTCCTGACGTGCTCAGAGAGCTGACACTGACCTCCACCACTGCTCCATGGCCATTCCGGGATGACTGCCCCTGAGAGAAGGCCAGGCTGCCTAGCAACTGCCCCTGTGTGTGATGGGACCAACAGCCACTGTCCACGTGGATGGTGCATGGCACTGGCCCCTCAGGACGGCATCTGCACTGAACAATGAAGTCTCAGGTCTAATTCACTCCCCTGGTAAAAAGATCAAGAACTAAAGAGAAATTTTTGTTGCACACACTTGGCCCAATCATGATTTCTACTCTCCATTGTCAGGAGGCAGCCTTGGGGAGCTCCTAAGTGTTGAGAAGCACTTAGTATGATCACAGGGCAGAACTTTGTGTCACTGAAGAAGGTGGTAAATTTTCTATATCAGCAGAATTTAACCATCTGATACAGTTTTTCTCTGGAAGAAAGTATGGCCTTAATTCAACGGGGTCGTCCTCACTGCTTCCTCCTTTCCAGGCATTATGGTGGTGAGAGAAAGAAACCCATGATCCAGCCTCCAGTCTGGTGGGGCGAGCAGGCACACACTGAGCGCTCCCTGCCAGGGCCCCTGGGCCTTGATCACAAAGAAGATGTACAAGTTCTCTCTGGCAAGGGGAGATCCCCTGGGGAAGCCACCTGTCTGAGGAGGCAGAGACGGGTGTGCAGGCATTCCAGGTAGGGGACAATAAGAGCAAAGGCATGGGAGCAGGAAAGGTCCAGGCGTGTTTGAGGAGGGTGAGCCCTCTGGTGTCTGCAGTGCAGGGCACTGGGGGCTGGTTAGACCATCCAAGGAGGCCCAGATGCCAGGCTGGGAAGCCTGGACATTCCTCTTTGTGCAGAGGGCCCAGTACTTACCCAGATTCTTCACATCCAAGCAGGAGGTCTCTGATGGCCCAGAATCTGTACAGAGTCTCACCATTCAAAGTGTAAGTCCCAGGAGGACACACCAACAGGGTGAGGGAAGCCCCGTCCACCTCACAGAGCCATTGAGTTTCAGTAATCATCATCGAGCACCTACCGTGAGCCCAGTCCTGTTGCCGGGTGTTTGCCAGGCTTATCTCCTAGCTTAATTTCCACAACCAAGCTTTGTCCTTCTGCTTTTAGAAACAGAGAAAACTGACAATCCGGGTATTGGGATCCCCAAACCACCACTTAGCTGTGTGACATTGGCTACATTACTTCACCTTTCCTCACATATAAAAACAGGTAATACCCACAACACCCAAAATTATTTTGGGGATAAAATAAAATACAACCATTTCTAAGCTAGTGCCTGGTGTATCCTTAACTCTCAATAAATATCAGTTTTTGCTGTTTGCGATGTTACACTTGGTAGTGATCTGATTAATGTCTGCCCACCTCACTATGCTCAGCTCCATGAAGAAAGGATCCCCAATGGTCTCCCCTGAGGTAGTTGCCTTGCACGTTACTGCTGATTCTCCTCAGGATCTACACCCACCAGCCCTATTTGCTTCTGGACCTATTAGTAGACTCAGCCCTGGAAGTTACCTTGACCAGCAAGGGAGAGTGTGGGGGTCTCTTAATGGCCAAATATATGGACCCTTATCCTGGCAAAGCAGAACTCATCTGTGATCCATCAGGTCCCACCCAGGGAGGAGTGGCCACGATGTTGCTGACAGAGAGGCTGGGGCCTCTAGGGAATTTCTAAGATGTGCAGGGATGCTGGGCATCCTGGTTCACAGGTAGCATAAATGTTTATGGAACAAGGCTCCACTGTGGCTTTAAAAGGTCATCACAGATCTTTCCCCTGGACATGAAACAAGCAAGAAAAGGAATTCAGAGATCATGGACCAAGGTTCCAGAAGGATTTAAATCTAGGTAAAGAGTGATCGTTGGGTCCCTAGAAGGGGACTCGGGATGGAAAGTCCTGCCTGCCCTTAGTCCATTTGCAAATTACCTTCCCCTGGCCTTGTCCTTTCTACGTGGTATGTTTCATCTCTTCACATTTCCTCCCGTACTTAGTGCTGCTGCAGTTCCAGAGATTGAACTAGAAAACTACATGTTCCTAATATTTGCCCAAAAGAAACCTCAGCAGGAGAAGCAGAACATGTTCCCTCTTTCTTCAAAGCTGTAGAAGGGAAGCCGCTGTCCTGGGTGGGGGATGCTACAGGGGCCTTATGAGGGGTGAGGAGTCCTGGGCCTCTGCACACCTGGGAACCCTCCTTCCCTCCAGTTCTGTCCAGGTCCTAACTGTTCTCAGAGATGGGTGTAAAGAGTCCCCTCCTCCAGCAAGTTGTCCTTGATGCCAGCCCCTACTTCTCTGTTCTCAGACTCTCCCAATAAATATACGACACAGAGGATGGAGCAAGGAAGGTCCTGCCTATGGGGGTCTCTGATTTCCACTTCCCTACCTTTCCCCCCAGTAAGTGCCACAGCTGCTCACCTTGCTCTTTTTCTGGAGGTCAGTCGGATTCCCCTGGGAAGCAGACAGCCTAAGTCCATCAGAAAGAGCCCCCAGCTAGCCCATAACTAGTCCTCCAGCTTCACCCTTTCTCATGCTTTGCACTACCACGAGAGCCCTCGAGGGGCAGGGCACACACAAAACAGCTCTGGGACCTAGGTCAACGCTGGGCTCCAGAGTTGGGGGGACATGAGAGCTGAGGCTCAGGGACCTTCTAGCCCAACCCTTTCTGATGACAGGTGGGAGACTAAGGCCTCAGACAGGAAGGGACTTCTCAGTCATTTATGTACGACCTGACTTGGAGGAATCTGACATCTCTCCCCTCCAAGGGCACTGACTGAGGGAGAGGCTGAGTCCATCTCCCACAGAACCTCCTGCACCTTTGCGTTCAGGCAGCTCTGCTGCTTCACCAGCCTGGGGAACTGGGATGGGTGTCTTATGGGGGAGCCTCCATTCATTTGTCCTCAAGATGGGCATGATGCCTCAGCTCACAAGGGCGGCTGAGAGGCTCTCCTGAGAGGTTTGCCAAGTGCTGAGAACTCAGGGCTCAGTACAGGGGAAGGGTAGGGATGGGGCGCTCTCTTCTACCAAGTCTCAGGATCCTGGTGCTCACTTTCCTGCCCCCAGACTCACTCACTCACTTCCAGATAATCCTTCATCACAGTGTCCAGCATCGCCAGGTCAGTGAGGAACGCGCCCAGGAAGGGGATGACATCCTGTGCCACTGGGATGGGAATGGTGATGAGCCCCAACTCTCAGGTGCTGCCCTCACAACCTCCCCTGAAAACGCCTCACCCTCAGCCGCCTGGCCCACCCCAGGGTTCCCGTGTGGAGCAGCCTAGGACCCTGAGCAGCCTCCCTTCAATTCCCCCAAGAACACCAGTCTGCTTCTGATCACCATCCAGGGCCTGCTTCTGGCAAGTCACAGAATTTGTGGTCCCAGGTCCCTCCATACCCCTCCTCCCTTAATTGATTCTGCACCCAGCTCTCCAGGACCTCCTGCTAGTCACTTCTTCTGTTTTTTTTTAAATATATCTTTATTGATTTCAGAGAGAGGAAAGGAGAGGGAGAGAGAGAGATAGAAACATCAACAATGAGAGAGTCATTGATCGGCTGCAGCCCGCAACCCAGGCATGTGCCCTGACCGGGAATCGAACCCTGATCGCCTGGATCCTAGGTCAATGCTCAACCGCTGAGCCACGCACCCGGCCGGGCCCTACTAGTCACTTCTAAGGGAGGGTTCGGGCACTGTGAAATCAAGGGGCAGGGCTGCAGGAGGAAGGCCCCCTTGGTTTGGAGGCCTCCAGCTGAGAGGGAGGAGCCCTCTCTCCACTGACCCTGGAGCCTCTCACCCACAGGCACACTCGCCTGCTGCTCTTGCCTCTTCTGGGCTCTCTGGGGGATCATCTCCAGAATAGCAAATTTGGAAGGCTGCTCCTGTCAGGATCCAGGACAGGTCATTGATATCATACTCCACCCCATTTCCCCCCAGAACCCCTAATCTCGGACCCTGGACATTTGACCCAAGCCAGCCGGTACCAGTGCTACCCCATCCTCTAGCGTGCTCAGATTCTAGAACAATCCCAGCTCGAGCACACCCAGTGTGTGGCCCTGGGCCTATGGCCTGACCTCCTTAAGCCTATTCCCTCATCTGCAAAGTGAGGAGAATTCCACCTGCCTCCCAATGTCTCCTGAGGACTGAATGTCATATTACTGTCATCACTGCTCTCCCCTCCCCCTCCAGGCAGAGCAGGGCACAAAGCTCCAGCACTTTCCTTTCCTCCCTGAACCTCACCGCCATCCTGGGAGGCCTGCACCTCAGGATCGGAACCCTCCTGATGAGTCAGAGGCCCACTGAGAAGAGGCTGCTCCCCCTCCAGTCAGAGGCCCTGTCCTCTGGGCTCTCAGGGTGTGTCTAGGCCCCCAGCTGGGCTGAACCATGAATGGAAAAGGGTGGGCTGTCTCAGGAGCCTGGATGAGCCTCACCGAGGTCTCTGCCCCCGAGGCTGGGCCTGAGGCCATGCCAAAGGCTTCACCTTAGGACATTCCCCTGCACAGCAGTCTGTCTTTATCCACTCAGGAAGGGCACTCTCCAGAGGTGCCATCTCTGACTGACAGGGTAGGGGGTGTCCAGGGAACAGAGTAGGAATACTTTGTTTCCTCTTAAACACAAAGCTCCTGACTTCAATTCTGAAAGGATCCAATAAGAACCCATCAGTTCTCCAGACTCTTAAAAGCCATCTAGGGCATTTGTCATTGCCAGCTAGACACCTCGCTGGAAATCCTGTGATTGATTAGCAGTGCTTGCTCTAGGGCAGAAGGGGAGCGGAAGAATGCACTCGTATCTGTCCCTGGTCCAGCCATTTAGACCCAAGGCTAGGCAGCCCATTTGTCCACCTGGCCAGTGGGATTCCTCTGCAGAACCAGCCCTGGTGCCCTCCCTGTGGAGATGCAGTGGAGAAAAGAGAAATAGCAGAGGCATGGCTTCCTGAGGACAGGTCCCCTCCTGAGGACACGTCCCTGCAATCCAAATTGAATTAAAAGTTAGTAAGGCGCACGTGCCCTTCAAGAAACACCTATGNGTGCACGTGCCCTTCAAGAAACACCTTCAATAGGTGCTCTGAACTCCTGTATTTGACAGCAACCCACGTACAAGCACTCAGAGAGGAGAGGTAAGGGGTGAGGAAGGTGATACGGGGGTCAGGCTCGGTGGGTGGGGTGCTTGTCACGGGTAGTGGACTGGAAGCATGGGTGGGTTCGGGATGTGTGCAGGCGGGCAGCTGCCAGCAGAGGAGCAGGATGAGGAAGGGCAGGGGGCGGGGCAGGGGCACATGCCGGCAGAGTGAAGAGTTAGCCGAAGCAGGGACAGCCAAGGCGGGAAGCAGAGGTGGGGNGCCGGCAGAGTGAAGAGTTAGCCGAAGCAGGGACAGTCAAGGCGGGAAGCAGACGTGGGGCCTCTGCGGTCACCGAGAGGCTGTGGGCTGGATCCGGTAGGGGCTGCAGGGTAGGTCAGAGCTGCACTTTCGGAGGGTTACGTGGCAGTGGTGGGTTGGATGAATGAACTCAAAGAATCGTGAAATTAGCCTTTTTATTATAACTCCAGGCCTGGAGCCTGAGTCCCGAGCCCTTCAACCTCTTAGTCTGAGACAGAGGTGGTTTCTGTTAGAGACGCTTTCCACGTCTTACAGCCAAGCGCCGCTCAGTGCGACTTCCCGCGGAGGTTGGTTTTAACCAAGTAAAGAAGATGGGACGGATTTTCTTGACCGTAATTAAGGGCTCAGAGCTACACCTCCTGTCCCCCACTAGTCTCCAGAACATTCCGTGCTGCCCGGGCCCCCTGACAGCCCTGAGGTAGCCCCCGGACAGAGCAGAAACTGGCCTGGACGGTAGGGGTTGATAGAGAGCGCGCCGCTCTGGGGGCGCTCCTGTTGCCAAGGGCAACCCCCCCCCCGGGGGAGAGGCAGGGAGGGCGGGGCCCCGGGACTCGCGCTCTCCCCGTCGCCTTGGAGACAGAGTGTGTCCTGTGGCCCCGGGGGACTTGAGCGGTGCTTTCTGAAGTTGAGGTGAGGTCGCGCCCCTGGGCTCTGGGCCTCTCTCCCCTCGGCGGGGTCCAGGAGGGGTGTCCAGGGGCTGCCCCTC